ACTGAAGTTTTCCAATTCTTTCCTCGAATAATCGGTTTTGTTCTTATATTGCACTCTTAATTTGGTGAAATGGTTTGACATTTTTGATCAAAGTTAGATTTTTTAAAAGCTGATGCATTTGCAACCCGCGTTCATGCCGTTATTTACTTAAACGTGATGCCAGATTGCATACGCTGCAAAAGTGTCTTTATTTGCCGGTGAAATTATGCTCACTACTTTCCAAAAAAATTAAAATTTATATTTTATCAAGTTTATTTGAATATCGTCTCTCTAAAAAAATTCAAAGTATAGGTGGGGCGTCAGTAGACGCACACGGTTGAAAAAACTTCGGTTTATGCATTTGGAAAACTGAAGGGTTCCGTCATGACAACCAAATTTCAGTTCAGGTAACCGAATTAATGTGAGCCATACCAAGACTCGTATTCTATAGTTTTAAGGAAGAGCACCGCATGAGCCTTCAGACGTTTCCAAATTTCCTTAGACAAATCACGAATTTTTCGACATTTTTTTAAATAGCTTTCTTCCGAATTCGCGGGGAATTTTGTTCGTAATTAAATCTAGTATGTGTAGAAATTTCAAGAAAAAAATGCATAACTTTCTTCAAAATTAAATGTTTTATTAAAGCGAGTCGACAACATTTGAGTACTCATACGGCATTTTTCTTCAGCACAGCAATATTCTTTGCAGAAGACTTCCGTTATTTGAGCTGAAGTTCGGTTCCTAGGATCTAAAACCACAGTTACCTGGACCGAAAACTTTAGGATTGCATTAAACGAGGAGGAAGTTCTCGTTACTTGTCGAAGATTTTTACGACTCATTTGTAAAATACTGTCCCGTTATAGGTACTCTAAAGCCAGTTTTAACAGTTTTCAATTCTACTGTGATAAGTAAGAGCCCCGTATGAGCCATCGGGCGCTGCCAAATTTCCTTCGACAAACCACGAGTTTTCAGGAAAATTTGTGAATATTTCTTCTACAATTTTTCTGAGGATTCCGTTCATAATTTGATCAAATAGGTCTTTTTAAGGTGTAATAATCATAAATTTCTTCAAAAATGAGTATCTTCAAAAATGAGTATCTTCAAAGCAGAAATTTGGCAACATTCGAATACTTATACTGCGATTTTACTTAGCCCGGCAATAGTGGCTGCAATAAACGGAGCGCATTCAATCGCCGGTTTTCCTTTTTTTTAGATTAGTGTAGAGAAAATGAAATGCTCTACCTGGAGAGATGTTGATGGTCGTTGGAATTAGCCGCACTGCGCAGCCCGCTTCTGGAATCTCTTCATCCGGTTGTGCCATTCGTCCTTCCACTCTATGACGATAGCGCGCTCCGTCATCGTGAGCCCTGGATGGCTCTTCCAGCCCTCTTCCTCCTTCCCCAGGATCAAGTACAACCTGGAAATAGTTCACAAATAAATACGAATCCCCATTCATAACTTATACCTCTGACATTAGCTCAAAAATCCCCTTCAAAACTGCGAGTGTGCAATCTCAAGACAGCGGGATTATAATAGTTATCATTAAAAAGCTAAAGTAAAGAGCTCCTGCCAGATGAGGTATTTTAAAACTGGGTCCTTTAAATAGATCGGATTCGATGGTGGTTCGATGCATCTTCGGTTCAAAACAACAGAACAAAACCGCAAACAAAAATTTTAGGATTCAAGTTGGAAAAGCTGCAAATGAGAAAATTCCAGACAATTTCACTTTTCATTGTCATTTTGTATTCATAAGATTCAAAAATCTATCACAAAAGAACCCGTTCCCTCAGATTACTCAATCGCATGTTGAACCAATCGATATCGATACAATCCCACCTGTTTGGTGTATAGAATACGATCCATAATGAGCGGTAACTGATCAGACGTAGAAATCGTAGGGTTACATTTTTGTCGTTTTGAAGGCGATTTTCGCGTGCTTTAGGACCGCGCGTGGCCAGTGATTCTCGGCCCATTTCCCGCCCACTTTATACCTTTTGAAGTAATTTTGAATTTGAAAATGAACCATCATTATGAGTCAGAAGTATCTTTAAGATGACAAACTCCAAAAAATTTGCAGATGTCGAGTTGTGAATTTGTGACTCCTGTCCACAGAAGGCAGCACTGTGCGTCGCGTCGATATGATGTATTAAAAAGACGGGGTGTGCTTACTTGTTTTGCTTGATTTTGGGGCACTTGCAAGCAAGGTCCTTGACGTGAACCCAGAGCTGCGTCTCTCCGCGCTTGAGCCGGGAATCCCGCGCTCGCTTGTATATGCTCTGAACGTTCAGCGAGAAACGAACCCAGTCCTCATTTTGCTCCCGCTCCACAATTTTACCCAAAATTGCTGAAAAACGACAAAATAGAACTTTATTCTTATTTCTGAAGATAATCTGAATTAATTTTCTTCAGAAAAAAAAAAAAAAAATTAAACCAAATTTGAATCAGTGAGAACGAAAACACACCAACTCGAAAAAATTAAAATAATCAAGACACACGCAAAACTGCACAGGTGCCTACAAACCTAACGGGATACTTCACGCGTTGCGCAATGCGTGAAGTATCCCGTTAGGTTTGTAGGCGCCAGTGCGCGTTCTGCGCTGCTAACACGCCGCTCCGCTCTGTGTTAGGCTCTAATATTTAAACTCGCGGAGTCAGCGTTTTTCAATTCATGATTTTGAAAGGTTTGCACTCTCTGCATTGATTATTCCCTTTTTAACTGATGGAAAAGAAATATGTACTACTGGAAAATATAATGTGCTTTTTGTAAATATAATAGTGGTTCCGTATCAAATTTAATGATTTCCAAAGCATTCAAATTTATTCTTTTATGTTTTTGGCTTTTACTGTGCTGCAGCGTGGTGTAAGCTCAACCAAACGCTCAAAATCGGACGTATTTGACTCAAGAAGGTCGATGTACAAATAAGTTAAAAACAAAAAATTGCATGCTTCTTAGTTTTTTTCCACTTTTATTAATTTTTGTACAGTTTCTTTCATCACAACTACGGCTCATTGAGATTCATATTGATGCCGTTGCTTGGAAAAGGTTTTACAAATATTTACCACGTTTTAAAAATGTAAATGTTTTTAAAATGAAGTAATCAATTTCATTAAAAAAAATGTACATTTAAGGCATATTTTATATCGGAAATTTCAAGGATAGAAATGAAACCTAGTATTTACCAAAGACAATTTGAAAAGATGAATCAAAAGAAGAAATTAATATTTCATTTAAAATATGAGTTACGATAACAACACCTCATTCTCTCTTAATTTTCTCATTTCGATATTGTCAATATAATTTTACACACGGACTAAAATATGACGCTTGAATTTGATTTTAGTGGACTTTACATTTGTGGACTCAACTTAGTGGACGTTAAAGTGATGGACTTGACAATAGTGTGGGCTTTAGAACTGTGGACGTAAAAATTGTGGACGAAAAGTCTGTGGACGTAAAACAAGTGGACATAAAGTCCGTGTAACTAGTTGAGGAAATTAGCAAAAGAAGATATTTGGTGCCGAAAGACAAGTAATAAAAAAGAACACTTTAAAGGTCCAAGTTGGAACAGATGCGTTAACTTCAATGACCTTTATGAAAACTGACTCTCTTAAATGAAAATTGAGCATTTTTGAGTTACTAAGTTGGTGTGTTTTCGTTCTCACTGATTCATTTGTCGGGCATGACTGAAGAAAAGCATACGTGCTACTTATTCACCGATATGAATGAATGGTTCATTGGTTGGTTGGCCGGTAGATAAATACATTTATTTGAAGGTGACTTCACAAAACAAAATCATTAACACTTTATAAAAGAGAGATCTATACAGAGAGAGGGTACCTAATCGTCCTGTATCAATACGTGCAATCATGGATTCATTCGGCTTCTTCTTGATTAGTTTAGTCTAGATGATGGTTGACGGTTACACAAGTGTCTCGTTCTCAAATTAAGGGATTATTTGGTGAAAATTGCGAGAGGAAAGGGGAATTTACGATATCAATTAATATTTAAAGAAGCTCTCACCGTAGTCTCGTTTGCAATATTTCGATAAGTTCAGTCGTCTGGTCCCGGATCGACATTTACCGCACTGGTCTAGAAAAAAACACATACAAATTTAAAAAGAAGAAACAATTTTTAATCAACACAAATAAAATAAACAAGATTAAACAAGATTTTATTACTCATTGAGAATTATATTTTGTTAGTTGGGACGTGAGAGAAGCCAAAACTATGGACAATTCAAAGATATCAAAATTATACAAATATGATAAGTACTTACAGAAGATGATAAAACAATGTCAACTCAGGTAAAAATATTACAAAACTTTAAATCTTCTATTTTATAGTACATGATCAAATCTGAATGTTTGGGGGAAAACAACTTCCAGTAAAACTTACCATTTTTATTTGAAGGGTTGCCGTTTGGTTCAGCATCAGCTGACATTTGATTGATGGATATTCTCGGAGTCTCTGTAACACAATAAAGCAAAGTATGGTAGTATGGTTAAAAAGAGAATGCATCCGTGATGAAGCGAACACTATCAACTTTTAACACGGTAAATATTTTATTTCTGCATATTCTTTAATTTCAGGAAAAGTTACAATTCATGCTATGTTGGATATTGGATTTTACTGAGCTGAATACTGCCGTGCTATGCAAGAACGCCGTAAATCCAACAAGATTTTCCCTCGTTTTTTGGAACTGAACACTTTATAAAATAAAAACTGTTTCATCCATGCACCTCAAATTTCCAGGTTAAGTTCTTGAAAGTATTTGTGAAAGAATTCTGTAAAAACATTGTTCCAAGGAACGCAAGTTTTTCTGCTGTGATACATTGTTTCCAAAAAATGTAAAATAGCGTATACGGCGTTTTTGCGTTGCACGGCAGAATAGAGAAACTTCAGGACTTACTAATGCAAGGAGCTATGTGAGATCTGCTCTGCGTGTATCCTTTGGCACATCGATTGCAGGTAACGCCGGTAACGCCATCTTTGCAAGGACACTGTCCGCTCGTCTGGTTGCACGTCTTCCCAGAGGCGCCGATTGGATGACAATCGCACGCTGTTAACAAAAGAGAAGCATAACTAAATGTTATTGAAATTCACTGACTGATTGTGAATGGCTTCTTATGACTCCCCTCTTGAATCCTGAGTTTTCGGCGAACAAGGTGCAGTCATATTTTAATGGTATTTTCATTAACCCTTAGATGCTGAGCCCCGCTCAAATTGACAGGAGACTTAATTGTTTAATAAACGTGCCACGTGAGTTATAGATAATAATAATTAAAACGTTAATAATTAACGCTTTAACGCGTTGATTAATAATTTGATACTTAATAGAAGTGTGTCTTATTTTGTTTGTGGGTTTGTGTACATCAGGAAAAGGATATAGAGCTAGAGAGACAACAATAGGATATTATCTGGTTCAAGTAATTTTCTCTTTAGTTATACTTACATTTATTCTATTGTATATATTCAACTTAGGACCCGTACATACGAGCTATAGATGTAGGTCTGTACATATTTGGACATTAAAAGACGAATCAAACTTCAAATTGAAAAAAGAAGAAAAAATTGAGGAACAACGGAGTCGAGAAAAAATCGGGCCTATTTTTTCAAATTTTTCTCCCGAATCTGAGCGACACCTCACTCACTGGCAGTAAAGGAAGGAGCATTGCGAGTTCACGCTTAGCTCCATCGCGCCTTCAATTTTGCAGATGCAACGCGGACATCCATCAAGTACGAATAGTTGTATCTCTGCGCCGTCATCAACGCGCCTCCTTTTGCTTTGCTCTCTTTCCATACTGTGTTTGTTTCAGTTTGTCTGATTTACATTTGTAGTGGTGCTAAAGGCTGTAATAGCAACACAGCAGTACATAGGAGAGCCGTAATAATCGAGCCTCGTTTCTTAACTTCACGACAACTCGTCGGCAGCATAAAGCGGAGCTGTGGAACATCGCGAATTCACAGCTCGCGCCTTCGCGCCTTCAATTTTGCAGATACAACACGGACATCCATCAAGCACGAATAGTTGTATCTCTGCACCGTCGTCAACGCGCGTCTTTCCATTTGCTCTATTTCCATATTGCGTTCGTTTCTTTTGTCTCATTTGTATTCGTCCTTTAAGGCTACGTGAGCAACACAGCGGAAGATAAGACGTGCCCTAATGAATTATAATTTTGAAAAGAGACAAATTTTAGAGGTCTCTCAAACTATCAAAAGGTTGCACGTCTAAAAATTGGCTGTACTACTTCTCCTGAGAGAATGACACATGGCAGATGAGGGGGGGGGGGATAAAGCTTCTCTATGTTACCAAAAAGGTGAAAATTTTAAAGAAAATAATTTTTCACCGCTTATTTTGCCACATCATAAATATTCAGGGATGCTTACGGAAGAAAATTTCACGAGGAAAAACAATATAGCTACTTTTAGAACCTCAAAGTTTTGTATAAACAGAGTTATCGAGCGTTTAGAGTTTCCCAATTTTTTACGATCTCTCCTATTGACTTGATCAATTGTGAGACGTAGACGGATCCAGACGCTTCGAAAGGGGAGGGGGAGGGAAGAGGGCACGGGGAGAGGGGGGCTTCCTTCAGAAAATTTTCAAAATTTCAAAGCATCCAATGTTCAGTTTGAGTCAACTTTGTCACGAAAAATCACCAAATATACCTCCTTTTTATCATCCCTTTTTCTTCCTCCTATTTTTTTGGATTCCGACGGCGCGAGAAGGTGAAAAAATCCTCCCCGTTGTCGAAGAATTGGCAGCAAGGCCACTGACCAGCGGGCATTCAAATTAAAGGCGAGTCGTCTCAGCTTTCACGCGAATAAACTTGTAACGTGTGATAAAATGAAATGAGAATGACCTCACGGCGAGGACCATAAAGAAAATTGCACAAGGGAGAGCATGTAAAAGACGGGTAGCTTGTCAAAATTCGAAATTGAGACAGGTCCACATTGTCGCACAACGCGGTCTCACGCTGGGAGGTGGATCCGGCTGCGCGTGAGGCTTGTCGGAATATATTAACCTCTCTCTTCCTTCTACCACTTGCGGACGTATTCATAAGAATTTACATCCATAGATTGCCCTCGTCCGTTTTATCCCCCGCGAAGGAATTCAGAAGACCGCTACCGCTACGGGACGTTCCAGAAAATGATCATTGACTGCGAAGGTTTCATTTCGCTCGTTAAAATAAGGCGGTTTTCTATTCGAAATTTCATACCGGTACCTTACAGACCGCTAGATGAGTTGAAGCATCAAAAACATGGAGCAAGAGTGTGATGTTTCAAAATTTCCGTTCTGCTTACCCTACGTGTTTTTTTTAATAAATTTTATTTAAGTGAAATGTAACTACTACAAGAATATGTTTTGTATCTATCTGATTGCTTAAAATAAACTACATTAATTTCATTAAATATACTAAGCGGCGTTAGATAATAAACACATTATGCCTACATGCTTTGAGAGAATATCTTTCGGTAGGTACAACTTTTCGAAAATTTTCAGACAATATTCTCTACAGGGTAAAGACAAACAAAAAGAGTTGTGTTTCATAATATCTTTTACACCGAAAAAAAAAAAAAAAACATTGATAGGAATTCTGTGACGTGGCGAAGCGAGATACGCAGTTTGGTGTTAAACCATTTATTTGAATAATCAGAGGAGACATGCGAGGAATATTTCCTGAAAATGTGACTGTCCCTTTAAAAGAGAAACCGAAGACTATCGACCGTTAAGATATTTGACGTTGTTTCGGAAGATGCCTGCTTCTAGTTTTAAAATAATATTCCTCTTTTCTTTGATTTAATGTTATTTGTCATTTCAGCTAAAAAGAACTAACTCACTGGAAAGCGTATCAAATAAAAAACGTCGTAACTTTTGCCTTTGCTTCAAATTGACTTCAATAGATTTTGGTTTTTGACGAGTGAAATATTTGAGTTTACAGAAAAGATCACCGTGTAATCACTTGAGAAATAATTCAAAGGGTTGTACAAATCGATTTCTAAAAGAAGTTTTGATAATGGAGCGTCATATAACACACTACTTAAATTTAGACGCCGCCCGGTAACACATTGTAGCAGAATGACAGTTAAAATTTTACGAGATTTCCTCTTTTATGAGAGCTATAAAACGTATATTACTGAGCTTTTGGATGCTGGAGCAAGATAATTGAATCTCATTTGCAGACGATTCAAATGAAACTAAGCATTTTCGGTTTAGCTCGGGTTCGTCAGCCTTGTTAGTAACATCTGCATGCAACTATTCGTGTTTGAGGGATGTGCGTGTTGCTTACTCAAAAACTGAAGGCGCACTAGCTTTTTAAAAAACAAGGCCTAGATTCAACTTTACGTGCTCGATGGATGCCCGCGTTGCATATGTAAAAATACGAAGGCGCACTGATTTTTCGCACTAACCGCGTGAAATGCCAGTTATCACTTATCATTCTCCCGATGAAATACTTCTTTTTTAGAATTTTTTTATATTTCATAACTATTTCCAGATCAAAAATCGATCAACATTCAATTTCTGAAAAATCGAAGGAAAATCCACACAAGTTTCCTCAGAAAGTTCGTATTTTTATCGAAATAAATTTGCACAATCCAAAAAACTCATACGGCGCACAGTGGATCGACTCAATAGAAGAGGTGGGTCGAAATTTGGAAACTTTAAACACTTTTAACTCCGTTCATACAACCTATGAGGCTCTAAATGTGGCTACATTGGTTTTCTCGTGAAATTTTCTTCCACAGGGTGTCTACTAAAACAGACTGGCCAAAAATCAGTACTTTTCACGGAGAAAAATAGAACGGTGCTCAGCACCAACTTTGCTTTAATATCCGCCGGATGTGGTGGACTGCAGGAAAGCATGTCGCCTAGCAGAGGAAGTTTGTGCGAAAGTACAGGAGGAATGTGCTGGGGACAAGTGTCGGCTGTGCCCAAGTGCGGAATGGAATGTTAAAGCAAAATCATCATCCGTCCCATGTGATGAAGTCCATCATCTAGTACTCAGCGCGGTTCTATTTTTCTCCGTGTTACAGTACTTTTACAGCAAATTCATAAGAAATTCAGTACATCTTCATTAGAAAAATTCAGTACTTTTTCAGTACCTCCGATTGACGAAATTCGAAAAATTTCAAAAATTTGAATTTCCCGCTCACATTACGTCAAAAGTGACAAAAAATTCCGGACCTCCTTGCGGAATTTCCGCATTTTTTCAGTACTTCCGGACCGCCCTTAAGAAATCAGTACTTTTTATGGACTTTCCGGAAATTCCAGACTTGTAGACACCCTGTTTCAGAAGCATCCCTGAATATTTAAAATGTGACGAAATAAACATCAACATTTGCAGTTTTAGTTAAAAATTCCGTGTCCGACCTCTCTAATTGACTCGGTCCACTGTGTGGCATTCTTCCCTAGCATGCACGGCAGAAAAGCTTTATTGTTTTCCTTACGCGTAAACTTTTTACTTAAAAGTTCTGAGAGAAAGATGTTATACTTATAGAAATGAGAATGGCAACATAGCGAAAGTGCCTCGTGGAAAAGTCGATGATAAGGTTTAATGGGCGGGATGCGTCCTGGGACAAGAAGGGTGGTCCATGCGGGTGCCGTTTTTAAGGGTGTTATAGAGGCAGGGAGACTAGTCGACCGTATTGGAAAAATAATGAGTGACCAAACAGTATGAGTCCCTAGTGAGTTGGGTGCCAAAAGATTCAAGGAAAGCTCGAAAGCAACCTTAAAAACAGTTCACGCGCTAGATATTTGGACGTATTTCTACTAAACAGAACTGTGTGAGGGTGGGAAAGATAGGGTGTGCTCGTTATAGTTATCGAGCTGTTAGAATGCATGGGAATTATAAAGCGCCAGAGACGTCAGCGGCGTTTTCGTTGTCGCCCTTCCTCCGCTTTAACTCATGAGCCCTGTCCCCAAGGCTTTCTTGCCATGCTCACGGCTCATGATTGCTGCATAGTTCCCTTTGCTGACTTTAAAATCCCACTTTTCCATTTTACTAAAAGAAATCACGTCCACTGACCACAGTGTTTCGTATTCACCTTGCCACGAGCACACCCCGTCTTTCCCACCCTCACAAAGTTCTGTTTGGTAGAAATAGGTCCATTCATTCGAAGATAATAAAATATGTATGCATGTTATAGCTGTGAAAGTTGAGAACATCGTCGGTAACCTTCAGCAGATTTTTTCCCAAAATAACAAGTTTTCGAAAAATCCCACCTTTCAAATACAAAAAAGGGGCAATTTTTTGTATCTTTGGATGCTCTCTATGCCAAACGATAAAGAATTAACCATTTCAGGTTGCTATTGCCCGAGTTGATAACAATTCTTACTGAAACAAGTTAAAATGATAAGGTTCCCCTCTGTGCCGCAAAGTATTTGACAGCCCAAGGAAGATTTGACGTTAGTCCTTAGCATAAAGAGGAGTGTTTCGCGAAAATTTCAGGATAAAAGTGCCCAAAAGTGCCAAATCAAACGGCGGTTAAAGTGATCTGAAGTTCGCAGTTGAAAGTATATAATTTTGGAGGAAAATATTCAACATTCTGATCCGTAACGGTTGCTAAATATGACATTGGCGGATTAAAACACGACTTAAAATCCTTGATCTGTGCAAAAATCGAATTAACCACTCGTATTTTATCATGTAAGATACTTAGAAAGAGTTTCCCATCCAATGACATCCAGGAATCCAATTCAGGTTTCAATCCAGGGAATTGCAAAATCCACTTTTTTGCATCCCATTTGAAAAAAATCGCTCTGCCAAAAATTTGACATCCGTAGACCACGATCCACTCTTCCATGGACGCTCACATTTGTCGCCTTACATTCTAAGTAAGTATCATAAGCCCCATGCGACGTTTCAAAACTTCCGCCGCCATTCTATTTTTTTATAGAGAAATTGTTGGTTGAATCTGTTTGAAAATTTCAATGGATTTCATTGGCAGCACGAAGAAAATTCAGTGAACTTTTTGGCCACCTTCATTGAACAATTTCTCTGTTGAAAAAAATACAACGGCGGAGGAAATTTTGAAACGTCGCATGACGCTTGTGATGCTTTGGCTGGAAGGTGACGATATTAGGATTCCGCCCTGAAATTTTGCCGCGAATGGGTGCGGATACAGGGTGTCTAGTTTTTTTTTCATTTTGGGAAATCCTGATTTTTCCTGATTTTTTACTGCTACATCCTGATTTCATAATTTTTTCAGATCCTGATCAAATCCTGATTTTTTGCGGAGAAAAATTAACGGACGGATGGCGGATAATCAACGAAAAATAAGCGGACGGCCGACTTTTCTCAAATCCTGATTTTACGACGGAATTTTCCTTAAATCCTGATGAAATCGGGATTATATCCTGATTGACCTTAAATCCTGCTAGGATCGGGAAAATCGGGGAAATCCTGATGCTAGACACCGTGGGATAGTTCCGCGTTGTATTCCCTGAAATGGAACTTAAAATTGCATCGTCTCCATTTTTCCAACGACTGACAACAATGAACTGGAACTGGGATTCAGGGGCAGTGCGGCAGGGATTGCTTACCGCTTAGTCATCGAGGATGAAACCACTGTAATCATACTTCACCGACCGCTGGAGGGGTCCCAGCGGCATCTCGAAATCCCTGTTGGACCATTAACCACCCCCCTCCCTCCCACGGGCTCCCGCCAAGCTTTCACCAGTCTCAGACAGGGTGGCGGGATGCCGCGGTCAGTTCCATTCGACCGTTCACGTTCGACAAAAACTGAACGGTTGTCAAATTGTGCGATAAAATATGGATAATTTACATGGGTTTAAATTGTGAAAAATGCTAATTTTTCAGCACAACCTGGCAAATATAAAAAACTGCCACCTTGAAGCGAAGCCTCGCAAAGCATATGTTTCCGTTCTTCGTGGAGGTCACTTTGGTCACAGTCGGATGCCGAGGTCAGTGATTTTTTTTAAAAAAATAAATTATGGTTTTGGTGCAAAATCTAGATAAGGATATCAGATATTTTTGGATACTCGCGACCTTTTCTTAAAAAAATCAACTGCCTTAATGAAGAAAATTGCAATCGCCGCATGGAATATATAAAATGAAATAGAATGGTTTCATCACAGAGGGGTACGGAAAAATTTCGCATTCGATATTGATATCGAAACTGCCCTCGAATGCGATATTTTCTCTCTGAAAAAAACCACGCCTATATTACGTTCAATTTGTTTGTCAAAATTGGTAAGTGAATTCTTCAGTCTTTTGCGGCAACAGAATTGCGATCTCAAAATTCGAGAAAAATGACGAGTAGCTGAATAAATGGAACCAATCAATGCGATATATCGCATGTCGTTTTGATACAAAATATGGCGTCCATCGAATCACCTTTAGCATCTTCTCAATGCAACACGTATTTTTCTCGGCACGGTAAGAACCTGTCGCGCTAGGGAAGCATCTTTTCTGTTGTACTTATGACTCTGATTTTCCCCAATCGCTGAAAATGTCAAATTGTAGTTTCGAATGATAAAGGATGGACAACGGACGTACCTTTGCAAGCTTTGCGATGAGTGATGGGTTTGGTGGGGTCTCTGAAGTAGCCCTCCTTGCAGTAGTGACAGTGCCTGCCGGCTGTGAAGTGACGACACTTGAGGCATACACCACCCGAGACTCGCCCTGACAGTTTGTACAACTCCATGTTGAAGCGGCACTTCTTCGCGTGGTTGTTGCAATTGCAAGCTGCAAAATAATAAATCAAATTATAAGTTCATGTTCCGCGATTCATTTTCAAAGTTAATCTCAGGAAATGACAAGAGAAAGAGATACAGACAAAACTTTATTTCGAATATGCATTGAATGAGATTGGCTACTTACCTAATGTGTAAAGAGTCAAATTTCGAGACAAATTTCAAGGAGAATATTTTTAAGGGGTGGCAATTAGGCAATATCTCAAGCAAGCATATGCAGTATAGACCCGCTAATTCGTGCTGAGAAGTCTATTTGAGGGCGTCACACCGCCACGTCGAACGTTTTTCCAGTGATGACTTCGCATTTACCATGAGCAACTAAACTAACTCCCCGGAGATGAGATTGCATACCCGACGAATTGAAGGAATTTCGGGTGGATCTGCTGATTCATAGTCGATTTATTCAATTGAGAGTGCCGCCGTTTGCTGCTGTGAGCAGTTCGCTTCGATCTCAAGCCATGCACTTTCACTCTTTCTTACCCAACAAAGAGTGTTTGCTAAATTGTGGGGTCTTTTGAAATTATCAATTTCTTTTGGTCATCAGACTTTGAAATGCTCACAAAGTATAATTTTTGGGGGATTTTGACTATTCTATACACACTTCTTATCCGACACGATTTTTCACCGCAGCAACGTGACATTTCTGGACAGAACGCGACGGAACCCGAATTTTTTCCCTGGAAAAATTGAATATTTGTGCGGTTCTTTGTATTTACTTCCTGATTAAATGACTATATTTACAAACACGATAGAGAATTGGGCGAAGTTTGGGCTCTCTGGTTACAGACAGAGCCTGAAACGGCATTTTATTAGTCTTTTACGGTAGTAGCGATTACCTGACACCCTCAACCGCAGTGGCGTGGCGAGTTTTGCGATATATCGATTGATCTGCCATTTAATCGCGTGGAAAAGGATCGATAAACAGGGTGTTCGCATAGAACACCTTAATAATTGTTTCTTTACCATAGCTTCAAATGGGGATCACGGAAAAATAAGTTGGGTAGCCTTTACCATACTCTGGTTAAAAAGGGCACAACCAGACAGTATGGTAACTTGCATCAAAATTGTTGTCACAATTAGGAAAACTCTTGTTACATTCACGATAATTTTGATGGAACTTGCCATACTCTCTGGTTGTGCCGTTTATTAACCAGAATATGGTAAATGCTACCTAATTTTTTCCCCGGTGAGCGAAATATCGCAAAGCACGCCACGCTACTGCTCGACCGCTTTTTTGAGTCTGATAAATGGACGTATTTCTGCCAAACGGAACTATTTGCATCACGACGTGAGCCCTGTTATGCATATGTTCCTACGAGTCTCAGGGCTCATGTCTTAATGCACATAGTTGCGTTTGGCAAAAATACGTCCATAATTGAGAGCATTTAAATGCTCCCATAGATAGCTTTCAAAGGCAGGCAAGACAAATGAATCTCATTACCATCACGCCTTTTGACGAAAAAAGCGGGAGAGTTGAGAATGAGAGTATTTGGCAGTGCGCCACGACATAAAGCACCGAACCCGCAAATTTTTTCGCGGTTCCTCGGGAAGATACCGGCGCTTTGGTTAATAGTCGATGGGGGTGTAAGCCTGGGAAAATAGCTGCTCGGGCGAGATAAATTCGATTGGTGCACAGTTCCAGATCCGCGGGCTGGAGCATACTGCGTATCAATCTTCCCGCTCCATCCGCCCGGGGCTGTTTCGGTTTCGGCGGCGCGTCGCTGGCTTCCCGTCCCTGCCTCCCTGGGGACTGATTTATCAAGGAAAATGCAATGGTGATAACGCGTGTTCGACACCTTCCGTTTCCCGCCTCCTAACCACCCCCGCCCCTTCTCGCTCCCGCCTTCTTCACCGTTGCACGATCTGACGGAAAACTCTCTGTCGCAATCCCGATAGACGCTATTAGTGCGACATCATAGAAAAGCGATATATATCGAGTTTTTCGCATTGGTAGCATTGAAAGAAGTTATGCCGATGTTATTGGTTGGATTAAATTCGATATTATGAAGAATCCCTGACGCGCTACAAATAGCGTCTATATAGCGGAGGAGATGGTGTGAATTTTGTTCAGTGCGTCGCACTAAACCTTACGTTTTTTGTTTAATATTCTGCAAGTACCATGTAAGGAGCTCACTAGGTGATTTATAGATCGTGTTCGATAGTGGTTCAATGTGTCGTTTGGTTCAAAACAATGGAAAATAGCCTCAAACCAAAATTGTAGGATTTAGGTAGGAGCTGAAAATGGGAAAATTCCTAACAATTTCACTTTTCGTTGCCTTCACGGCAAAAATTTAATTACTGATTTAACAATTAAATTGCTAAAAAAAAGTAACTGTAATATTTTAACGCAGATTTCACAGCACAAAAATGCTACTTTAACCACTACTGTAAGCTAATTTGTTAAAGTAGCATTTTTGTGTTGTGACATCTACGTTGAAATATTGCAGTCACTTTTTTAAGCAACTGAATTGTTAAATCAACAATTTAATTGTTAAATCAGCAATTTGATTTTTCCGTGTTTTTATACTCATCAGAATCAAAAATCTATCGCAAGAAACCCGCTCCCTCAGATTAGATCATTGATTTTAAAGGGAATGCTTACATGCATGATCCAAATGACATCGATTGAGAGTATCAAATACGATCCATTGCGCATTTTTCGAGCCAAAATCGCGAACAAGCCCGCTTTAAAAAGTCCAAAGACTCCAGGGAATTTCTAACACGCCAGAATGGCGGGAAAACGATGAAAAGGATATACTCTGGCAGTCAAATCGCTTCTCCCTCTCATTTTCCATCGATAGAGCACAGGCGATAATTTCGTGAGCCGCCTTGCGCCGTCCGTTCAGGACTACTTCACGCAATGCTTGAAGTATCCCTGTACGCTTGTAGGCGCCAATGTGCGTTTCGAGCTGGCAGCACGTTGCGCCGCCGCGCCGCGCCGCAGCGTGTCATAAAATTGCCCACGATTAATAGATCAGGATGTTAAACTCTTGGCACTTTGACATCAAATTCGAAATTAGCGACTCAAAAACAATGGTAACGAAACTATTGTAATCTTTCAGTCATTATTCGACTTTCTTCCTATTCTTGAGTTTTGGACCGTAGGGAGCCGCGGGCGGCTGCTCATGAAATTCTTTCCTATGCTCAATCGATTTTCCACTGATGCTTCAAAATATAAAACGTTATTCAATCTGGAAGTTTTTTGTTCACTACAGTTAACATGAATGATATGCGACTCTTTGATTCTGAAGATATAGTCCCGACTTTCCTACTGTTGTCACATACGAGCCAAACAAAGAAACGAAATTCAACAAGATTTAAACAAAATGGGTTCGGTGGGGCTAAGACGGGCTAAAATTTTCAGGGTAAAAAACATAGTTTCGAGTATGAGGGCGGTTTAAAGATTTCATTTGCAATAATACAATTGTCTAATCAAAATGTATTTTTACTCCTTCTGCAATGACGAAGCTGAACTGAATCGTTCGCAATTTGTTCTTAGGGCCATCAGATAAGTTCATCCGCGTATGAAACTTAAATTCTGTTTTCATCGCCGAACTTGATGAAAACTGATTTTCTGAAAAATGTGCTCTGGTGTTTCGAAGAGCCCTTTTCCCACGGACGGTCAAGATGATCAATGATTGAATAACGAATAAGATAAACGTTCATTGAGTGAAAAGGAATAAACTTCAATCTTGGGCTCAAAGTAAACGATCAAATGTTTTTTCTGTATTTTGGATTTGGCAAAATTGAGCAACGGAGACAGAAATAAGAATCATCCAGAATTAGGGAGGTTTTTATTTCCAAAGCAACTAACTAGGATTACCGCATGGTGGCAAATTTTCATGAAAAATGAAGTCTTTAAATTTCACGTGAAATATTTCATGAAATTTCAGAAATTCACGAGAGACATTACCGGTTTCTTCTCATGTTTCGCAAAACGTAAAAATTGTGACTTTCTCCTATTTCTGTGTACTTGAGTGTGGATTGCGTACTCTGTCCCATGAAAAATATAAAATATTTCACAGCCGCGAGAAATTTCATGAATATTTCACTGAAATTTCCAATCTCTAATTTCTTTCTTACGTTTCATGCCACCCTGAGATTAAGTTAAGACGGTGCAAAGTAGAGTCTCTTTATACTGAGAGTTAAGACAACCCGCCTCATGGAGTCACAAACGGGAATAAAGATTAAGTTTTTCGTAATCTTTGATAGGTCCATTCTTAAATTCCTTTCTCCTTTCCTTCTCTCATCCCGTTTGTTCCTTGCCGAACCCGTAATTCCCCGGTCCATTCGAGATTATGATCTTTGCAATTGGTGAAAATGTAATTTTTATTCCCGTTTGTGACACTGTGGCGGCCTAAAACACGAGAACCAATCAGAAATTGATTCACATTGTCTTGACTCACAGTATAAAAGGACTCTACTGCAAAGCAGCGAAGTTAAAGTATCCTGGAGCTCGAGCGAAAATCGGCAAGGGTGCTTTTATAAGTTTGAGAGCTTGCGTATCCTCCTTTTCTCCCGATGTTTATATTGGAAGATACTGGAAAGCTATCCTCTGATGAATGAGAGCGATCCCTCATCGCGATATCCCCTCTCGGAGAGAGATTAGCTGAAATCAAGGTCTCGCAATACCATTACGCTGCCCTTAAACGCGTTAATTCCCCCGCATCCGGATCTTTCACTGTTACCAAGGGGTCCACGTCCATTCTCTCATATAGCTCCAGGGTCCAAACTCCTTGGCACGATTTTTTTTTTTTTTTTTTTTTTTTTTTTTTTTGTAAGTGATGAGGCTATAGTTATTGATTGGCACACTGTGGAAAATTAGAGGCTACGATTATCCTTCTTTAAATACTTAAATTGAGCGCCATCAATTTTCAGAGGTTATTATTATTTGGACGTATTTCTGGCAAACGGAACTATGTGCTTTATGACGTGCGCCCTGTTATGCATACATTCTTATGGGTCTCCGGACTCATATCTTAAGGCACATAG